GACGATTTGAAGCTTTGATATTTGTCTTTTTTTTTCTCATATTTTAATTTATCGTTTTTGTTTTAATATTTTTTTTTTTATTTTATGATGGAAAAAAAGATAAGATGAGGACAAATTATTCATTGTTGAATTTTCACGAAATTTAAATAATACTTACGAAGAATCGGAATCAGATAATAATTAGGATTTGAAATTCAAAATGAAGAAGATAGAGGTAGTAGAGGTGGCAGCAATAGAATAAGTAGGGGCTGAGGTCGGGGTCAAGGTCAAGATCAAGGTCAAGGTCATGAAATAACTGAACAAAATGTTCAACTTCCACCTCCGCCTCCTTTTAATACTTTAAAGCATTCCATGAACTTTATCCGAAAATATTTGATTTGTTGCCATTTTTTCACTCTTGAACAAATAAAAATAAAAGTTCAAAACACAAACAAATATGCATATTTAAAAGGTGCAGGAAAGGGATGCAAATGGAAAGATTTAACAGCAGAGGAATTTAAAATTAGATTAGCAATTTTAATTTATATTTGTAAATTTAAATTTCCTAGTATTCGAGACTATTGGAATAAAGATGGAAAATTTCCTTAGCATAATATTAAACCCTAATTGCCCCTTAGTCTACCACTGGGGAGAGATAGAAAAGAAACAGAGTAAAAAAGGTAGGTGTGCTTTTTATAAAGTAAACAAACATTACAAATTTTATGTTATTATTTCGTTTTAAACAGGTATTCTTAGTTTAAACTTTATGCTAATTTTTTTTATTAAATATTTAAATTTAATTAATCAGAAATTACATTTTTATTAAAAATTTAAATTAAACTTTTATGAATATTTCGGACTGTACAATTTCGCCTTATTTTGGTATTCTAAATTGGATCCTTTAGCAACTCACCTTCGGAACATTTTAAAATCAAGTATATCCCTTCATCAAATGTATCAATTGACGAAATGATAGTACTGAAGAATCAAAAAAAAACCTATTCCGGAAGGCTGTAAAATTTTTTTTCCTTTGTGATTCAGGCTATACATATACTTTTAGTTTTACATCTAGAGTTCAAAACCAACCCGATATTCAACATATATCAAGTTTATGCAAAGTAGGAAACGAAGTATATCATCTTGTTTCCCAATTACCATCATTTAATATTTTCATGGATAATTTTTTTTCAAGTATTAAACTTTTAAATATTTACGTGATAACAAAATTGGAGCTTGTGGAACTGTTCGTAATTGAATTTTTACCTTGAATTTTTAAATAGATGAAAAATTAGATTGGACACACTTTCTGGAATAGTTATTAATTATGTATTGGTTGTGTATTATTCATGAATTTAATTGAAATAATAATCGAATTGTAAGAGTACAATGTCGACCACAAGTAAACAAATACTAATGCAGCTAAATTAAGGCAGTTTTTGGAAATGAAAGTAAAATATCTTTGCCAAATCCTGTTGTAATTGACGATTACAATCAATTTATGGGTGGAAGAGATATTCATATCAGTTACGAGGATATTATGTTATACAATTGTCAGTACGAAGAACTTGAATTCATTGTTTTCTAGTTGTTAAATACTACAATTATTAATTTGCATTTAATATTAAAATAGTGATGTAAATAACAATCATAAGAATTTTAGAATACAATTAATATGGGATTTAATTAAAGTAGAATCGAACAAGATAAGCAAATATACTACATACCCGAAGCCAAGTTGATGAATTAACAAATCAATTTAAATTTATTGATGTTGATCCTTCTAGAAAGCAATATGTTACAAAAAATTTTGAACTTCTTTTAATAAGATTATCACAAGATGGTAATTTCCTGAGTAGGATGTCAAGCTGTCCTATTATTTTTTATAAATATGGGCTGGAAATCCTTAAACAGCTCAAATTCCACGCTTTCCCTTCTTGTATTTGCATATGCACTCCTTAAAAACCTTCCTTTACCACTTCGCGATATTTTCGCGCGTTCACCGTTTTAACATTTAAAACTTATTTTGTAATTTCGTTTATTCTTAATTCCCGATTTTTCTTATTATTTTATTACACAACTTTTCGTAATTGCTCAGTTTTATTAATTAGAATTTTTGTGATTGAGATTTATTTAGTTTAGTGATATTATGCCGGTTGCAGATCATCAAAATACACAATAATATTACCGGTGGCTTAGAGATTTTGATTAATGTAACGTTACATATTCACCGCGTGCATTTTTTTTTTTTTTTTTTGCTTCCACCAAGAATTTTAAATCATTAGTAAAAATCAAAATGCAAGTTGACAATAATTCGAATGAATGGATTAATTGGATTGAAGAATATATTTCAAATCATAGTATCAAATGCTACGAATATAAAAATTTTAGCAATATCCAAATGATCGGTATAGGAAATTTTGGAAAAGTCTATTGTGCAAATTGGAAAAATACAAAACAACAAGTTGCGATAAAATCGTTTCATAACTTTAACGAGGCAACTGTTAAAGAACTTGTTCGTGAGGTAATTACAAATTATAATTTTTATCATATTCGGACTGCTTATTATAAAATCATTTAAACTAAATTTAAATTCGTAATAATTTAGCTCGATCTTCAGCGTGAAGTTGCTTTTTATGATAATATAATCCGTTTTTTGGGGATAACTTCAAAACAAGGTATAAAATGTTCATAATAAAATCTATAATTGAAATATATTTGTTGTTTTTATTTTGATTTTATTTTAATTCGTTTTTATATTTTAAAAAAAATTAGAAGATCAAAATAATAAACCGAAAAAATATTTGTTAGTAATGGAGTATGCTGATGGCGGTTCACTTAAAAACTATTTAAAGAGTAATTATAATAAGCTAGCTTGGAGAGATAAATACAACCTGGCATCACAGTTGGCTTATGCTGTATTATGTTTACATGACGAAGGAATTGTGCATCGTGATTTGGTAATATATCTTATTTTTGTTTATTATTGCTGTTAATAAGCAATAATTAATAATTAATTTTATATATAATAGCATTCTGGTAATATATTGATTCGTCAAGGTATTATTAAGCTTGCTGATTTTGGATTGTCGAAAAGAATTGAAGAGAAAAGTAAGCAATACGCAAAAATCTTTGATGTTCTTCCTTATATTGATCCCAAAATATTCGGCTCTCAAAAAAGAAGTGACAATACATCACAAAAATATACGCTAACTGAGAAGAGTGACGTTTACAGTATTGGAGTGCTCCTATGGGAAATATCTAGTGGTCATCCTCCTTTTGAAGGCGAACAATACGACATTGGTTTAGCTGTGGATATTTCACAAGGACGCAGAGAAAGTATCATTCCTGGTACACCTAAAGATTATGTAAATATTTATACTGGTAAATATATCATTTTGTATTTTAATTTAATATAATGTTTTCGATAATTAAATATTTTAATATTTTATGATTTTAGAATGCTGGGACAGCGAGCCAAACAATCGTCCGGCTATGAACAAAGTAGTTTATAAATTAAGAACCATAATTGCAAATAAAATAGAAAATGATCTAATTAATAATGACGAATCAAACCTTCAATCATCAGAACAACTAATTAATTTTAGTATGAATAATTCATTTCACGGGGGCTTATCTCGAATGATTCAAATGAATGTAGAAAAATTAAAATTGAATAATGAAACATCAAACATTATTTTCGATGATACTACTTATAGTTTAACGTTTACGGATCTTAACAAGGATATATTAAACGCCTTTGGAGGATTGCAAAGATATTGGAAATTAAAAATACTCAATTGTAGTAATATTCAAATAAATAGCTTACCAACTTTACCCGACTCCTTAACGGAACTCTATTGTTATGAAACTCAAATAAATAGCTTACCAACTTTACCCGATACCTTAACAATACTCAATTGTAGTAATACTCAATTAAATAGCTTACCAACTTTACCCGACTCCTTAACGGAACTCTATTGCAATAATACTCAAATAAATAGCTTACCAACATTACCCGATTCCTTAACAATACTCTATTGTTATGAAACTCAAATAGGTAGCTTACCAACTTTACCAAACTCTTTAACAATACTCAGTTGTCATAATACTCCAATAAATATCCTACCAACTTTACCCAACTCTTTAAAAAGACTCATATGTTATATGACTAAAATAAATAGCCTACCAACTTTACCACATTCCTTAGAAATTTTTAATTGCTCTGGTGCCCAAATAACTATCTCCAACTTTTTCTTTACGGATATTGAAATAAATAGCTTACTAAATTTACCTGATTCTTTAAGAAATATCTACTTAGAAAAGTCCTTTTATTGGTGTCAAAAGGAGGCGGCAAAAAATAGAGATATTAAAGCAAAAATTCTTGCACTTTTTTATGAAAAAGGTGAAGAAATTGAAAAAAATTTAGAGAAGTCTTTTTATTGGTATCAAAATTTGGCACAGCATGGAAATACCAAAGCACAATATAATCTTGCAATTTTATATGAAAAGGGTGTAGGAATAGAAAAAAATTTTAAAAAATCATTTTATTGGTATCAAAAAGCGGCAGAACGTGGAAGTTGTAATGCACAATATAATTTAGGTTTGTATTATCAACATGGATGGGAAATTGAAAAAGATGAAATTAAAGCATTTGAATGTTATGAAAAATCAGCTTATCAAGGTAATCGTGATGCACAATGTTATTTAGGATACTTTTACAAAAATGGTATGGGAATACAACAAGATTTAGGAAAAGCTTTTGATTGGTATCAGAAAGCGGCGAGAAATGGAAATAAAGTTGCACAATATAATTTGGGCAATTTTTATAGATATGGATGGGGAATCGACAAGGAACTAGGTAAAGCAACGGAATGGTATAAAACATTAGCTGGAAAACATAACTCGTTTTTTATTAGAAATGACAAATTATTAGGTATTGTAAGATATATTTTCTTTTTATTTAATCTAAATCAACATAATTTGCTTATTATTAATTTCCAATATATTGAAATGTAGAATCTATGGAGAAAAAAACAAGCGAAACAGCTAAAGATGATGATAACTTATTTAATTGCATTCAATTAAATAATCCAACAGTTCATATTAGTAGTAGTGATAAGTCAAATATTTGGAATGATACAAATTACGAAATTATGTCAGATTTCATTTCAGTAAAATCAACTGTTACTTCTGGAATTACTCCTACTTCATATATAGAAGTCAAAAAATTACAGAAATTACTTATCAGTCGAAAAGATGATATTGATCATATATTAGAATCACAGCCTGTTTATGCTATAGGAATTGACTTCCAAAAAGATTCTACCAGGCCGTGTATTGCCTGTTGGGTTGATAGACCTCTTGGAATTCACATTTTGGAATGTCTTGAAACCTTATTTGAGGAACAATATGAAGCTATTTACCAAGTAATACTTGAAGATATTGAAGATAATAATGATCAGAATCTAAATAATAATAAGTCGGCAAGTTATAGTGGTATTAATTGTGATGATAGTCATAATGATAATGAAGGTAATGATAATAATGGTAATGAACATAATAATAAGTATAGCAGTAGCGGTAATAATGATAATGGAAATAGTAATAACAATAGCGTTAATAACGGTAATAATGATGATGATAATGGTAATGGAAATAGTAATAGTAGCGGTAATAACGGTAATAATGATGGTAATGATGAAAATAGTAATAGCGGTAATAACAATAGCAACGGTAATGGTGGTGGTGGTGATGATGATGGTGGTGGTGGTGATGATGATGGTGATGGTAATAACAATAGAAAAGATATCATTGCTAATGGAATTATTTTCTCGTCTGAAGCGATTGTTACTGTAGATTCTGTTGAACCAGTGATTTTTCAAAAATTTACCATAACTGCTCGTATTTGGGCAGAAATTACATCATCTAATATTCTAGAATTTGAGGTTGATGTGCTTGATTGCAAAACAGGAAATATGCTTAGTAGAACTAATTCACCATTATTTAAAAAGCATGGTTATGGCTATTTTATTGATTCTATTGAAGTTTGTGTCTCTCCGATTGCACGTACATCTAATAATAATATGAAAAGCTTGTTCACAACAATAGGTGCTGCCTTTCCACAGAAGTTAAATCGCAATGTTGAACTTTCAACAATTCGTGAATCAAATGTTGGTGGACAATTTAACGGAGAGTTTGGAATAGTCCCCAAAATCGTAGCTCAAGCAAATGGCAATGTAAAATATGTTGACAGTGTTAAATCAATATCAGATGAGTGGGATGTAAATCATTGTGGTTGTGGTACTACCGGAGATTTGTGGTCACATCACTATACTGCTCATGAACTTGATAAAGATGGAAGCCGCAGAACAAGTTATTCTCCTAGAAAGCATTCTAATACGTGGCGAATTTGGGAAGAGATGGGTGAATTTCGAATAACTATTACTCAAGTATTACGTTATAAGCCTGTCAAACAAAAATTTTTTGTTTTTTCACGTCCAAAACTAATATTATGCACCATGATTTCCCACAATTTTGAAATAACTTTTAAAGATCTTGAAAATTTAAATACAAAATTAGCAAAGCTCGATAATGGCGAGATTTATCGTAATAAGAACGACATCAATATTAAAAATCCAGACCCAATTATTCAGAATTTAGATGAAAGCATCAAAATGAAACATTCATTTGTAAAAGTTTAATTGTGTACATTAGATTTAAGTTATTTTATTAAATTTTTTTTTGTTAACTTGAAATCTATTGATTAATAATAATATATAATAAAATCGTATTGAATAATTAAAAAGGAACGCTTGAATCATTCAGTATACAATTATTTTTTTTTTTTTAAAAAAAAGTTAAAAATATAGTTCTTTTCAAAATACAATTATTATTAACAAATATTGAATACGAGTTAGATTGATAATTTGTTATTTTTCTCATATTTTTTTAAAACATACAAAATATGTATATTTTAATATAGTATTAAGAAATTTAAAATTTAACAAGTTAATTGATAATTTTGTCGTAGTTTTTCATACATATCAAAGAAACAGCTTTAAATATTTTTACAAATGAAAATATTTTAAATTTCTTTATCAACACACGATGCTTAAATTTGCTAATTTATGTACATAAGAATATTCATTCCCATCATCTATTCCTTTTTTTTGTGATTTTCGTAAAGAAAATAACTTAAAACGCTGGAGAAGAACAAATAAGGATGAATGTTAGCTGTTGGAGATTTTAGAGAAAATGTACAGTCATGTCTTAAGTGACGCTTCAAATTTTATAATAATACATATAAAGAATATAATTTCATTCTAAATATAACATATTAGTACTTATTTTCATAAATATATATATATATATTTATAATTTTTATACGTAAACAGATTCTTTATGTTTTAAATCTAAATAAAAAGAATCATAAATATAAAAATGAACAACTTCGAGTTGCATATTAGCATATTCATTTATAATATTTTCTAATAATTTAAAGCTAAATATTCAAAATTTTAAAAATAATATTAAACTTTGGAGAATTTAAAATGCAAGTATTATTTAATTGTAAGATTCAGAAAAATATTTTATATAAAATTTACTACGTAATTGTTACTTTTCGACGCGACTGTACACAAAAGGATTTGAAGGACATTTATAATATATTTTTTAATAGATTTATCATCTTTAATTCATTAATATTTCTCTAACTTTTGTTCTTGTCCTGTGACCAGAAATGTTTCCTAAATATTTTATCTGCCATAATTTCATTAAAATATTAATTTATACGATGGGTTTTACTTGGAAATTAGAGATTTCGCTCAAGATCTATTTTAATTTATAATTCAACACATATTCCTTTTCCACCCTTAAATATCATTAAATTTACTAATAAAAAACATATTTTGATCCATTATAAATATAAAGCTCAAATTATTATTATTCGTTTTCTGCCTCGAGAGAACCCTCAACAAGGCTTACATTAGGATATAAGCAAGATGGTTCTGTTCTTTAAAAGAAAAATAAAAGTTGAAAAGAATATTGTTAAAAGAAGAACTCGCACCTACTGTAACTTTAAAAAATAAAATAAAATAGTTTTTTATTACAGTCAGAAAATTAATAGTAATAACTGCGAAAATATTTCAGATGGAAACAGGTCCTAATTATTAATTAAATGACGTAAGTATCAATATTCATTGTTTTTTATTTATAAATGATAGAAAGGTAAGCAGAAGTTTAAATTGCTTCAACGTATACGCCAGATAGATTACAAAACTATCAATTCCAAATTTATTGTATTGTTACGCTTAGTCTATTATTGAAGGTTTTTAGATTTGACAAATAAAATATCAAGTGTTGAATTGACATTGGCGATCTTATAATCAATTATATGTGATAATTAATTAAAAACTACGAACAAAAGAAAATAAAAATAAAGATATCAGTTATCGCAAATAAAAGGGTAATTATAATGCTGGTGCAGTTACATTTAACCAAGGTCACACTTTAATTTTTAACTCCTACGTCATTTGGATGAATGAACAATACAAAAAAAAAAAAAAAAATATTTAAAAATAAAAATATTACTTATTCAAGCAATTCTTTATAGAGCATAAGAATGAATCTAATTCCATAATTTGTGAATAAAAACATATATCAATCAAATACGGACGAGCGTACAAAAAGAACCACACAAAAGTTTGCTGTTTAGAAATTCCTTTAATTTCATCTGGTATTTCAAGACTAAATAAAAAGGTAAATTTACAAGGAATTTCTGAAAATGTGTTAGAAAATATTGGTTAACTTATTGTTTCAGTATTATTGCATTTGAGTTGGGTAAATTTGGTAGTCTAGTTATAGAAGTATTGTCACACCAGAATTCTGTTAATTTTCAATATCTTACTCCTAATTAATATTATCTTCGTAAATAAATTTTGTTAGGTACTTCAATGTTTGACTCTAATTCTTCTATATTCATCTGATCAGCCCAACATATAAAAAAAATCCTACTATTAAAAATCTATTTGAAAAAATATATTATGTAATTAAAATATATTTACCGGTATAAATGATCACATATTTTTCAGTTGTATCAGGAAATGATCCTTTCTCCAAGACCTAGTGCAATTTATATATCAAATTCTTCACCTTTAATATAAAAGGGAGTACGATCACTAAACAATTCCTATAAAAGCATGCCAACACTAAACACTTTTCGTATAGTTTAAATTGTCGCGAAATAATATCACTCGTTCATCCATTAAAATTTTTTGTCAGTATACTAAAGCTTTTGAAAGATTTGTAGCTGCTGTTAAGCCTAAACACTATGTCATTAGGATAACAAAGCTTATTTACTAACAGGGAGTTTAAGTCGTAAACTATAAAAGAAATAAACACGAATTTATTTAAGTTGAAGGGTCAGGTCGTCTTTATTGATGATTTATATTTTAAAGAAATAGATATTGGCAAAGATATAATTTTTATGTTGTTAAGATTATACTTTATTAATTGTACGATAGAAACTTGTTAGTTTGTCAAGGCGACAATACAGGATATTTATATAAAATACAATTATAAGATAGAGATAATAAATATAATAGTGAAATTAAATATAACTATGAAAATAAATATATCAAATAAAATAATGATAAACATGATAATAAATAAAATAAAGAAAATGAATATCACAACGATAACCATGATAGCAATGAAATTAGTGAAAAATGATGATCATGATTTTCTTAGTGATCATTGGTGACATTAGTTGGCGCAGTCATCTAGTGATGCAAACGGATTATCACTAACAACGTATACTTAACAATGTAAATCTAAAAGCGCTTCTAACCGAGTGTTCCAATTTAAAAAGATTCATAATAAGAGGTTTTAGACGTTTAAGCCTGAAAACATTTTTAAAAATTCCAAAACTAGCCATTAAATTGGGAGTGTTAGAAATTAGGGATTGTTTGCGGATTAGAGATAATATAAAAAGCGATTTCTAAAACTTATACCCAAAAATAAAACTTATATATGAAGAGGAATAACTTGAAAAATAATGCATAGTAATATTATGGTAAACGTTATATGTATCACAGGAACAAGCAACTACGCATAATAATTTGTTCTCAAACTTTCTCGCACATTCTCAAAAATATGTAATAACCCTGAAATCCTAGAGATAAAAAATGATCTCCAGAGAATGCGTGAAGAGGCTGAATGGAAAAATGATACAATCTCTCAAGGTATAATATTCTTTCGTATGACCGATTTTTTAACATTTTTTTTCAGGATGAGATCTAATATGACTTATTCTTCCCTAGCCGGCTCTAATCGGTTTTTGACTACAAGTAATATATTAACTGAACGATATTCCGTTTATAGTGAGGATATAGAAACATATTGGATTGAGTTTTCAGCTCTCTTCGATCAAAGAAGAAAGAGAGAAGGTTGTTCCCTGTACAATTATATAATATATTATCTAATAAAAATAAGGTTGGACTTAGTCTAGCCATGTTGGCGAGTTTCTATAGATATCAAATAATTCTGAGAGCGACGACAATGGATAAAATAAAGGCTTGGGTTGATAGAGAAAATGAAAAAAAGGTGGTTAGTTTTTCGAGAAGCAGTAGTAGCAGTAGTAGTAATAATAGTAACACTTTCAGTAAATGTAGTAGTGTAAAATAAAAATGATGCTGGGACTCTCATTTATGGCTTAGAATCTGAGAACTCCCTCCCTCTTAGAATGTTTATGACTTTTTGTGTATCATTTTTTTTCAAACGCTATTTTCCTAGTCATTTCTTTTTTTTATATATTTCTTAGCCGGGCCGAAGGCGTTAAAGCTAAGGCATCTATTTAAAAATTTTTAATAAAACTCTGAATGTTAATTTTTTATATAATAATAATAAATTTTTTGCATGCAAGATTTTTTTGCGCGCAAATATCTGAGTATAATGTTCCATCCAGATTATAAATACATTACAGATAAGCTTCCAGTAAGTATAAAAGATAGAGCATATCAAAGACTTCTAAATCATTCGCACAAACCTATTCCTCTAAATCGAATTTCAGAGAAAAATAAGCGGATAGAGAATTATTTGCACTATACATTAGAGATTTACCAGAAATCATTAGACTGGAATCATAAAGCTATGGATTGAAAAAAACCATGACCTCAAAGTAGGTCAGAATGCCTAGCACCCAATATTAAACCCCAAACAGAAAACAAGTCAGATGATCATAGGGCGGGAATTAATGATCGGATTAAATATGAACTTATTATTCTGCAAAAGCAACTGCTTAAATATAATAAAGAAACATTTAGTCGTTTTATGCAGAATCTAACTAAGGAACATGAGGAACGAATCAAGGAAAATAATCATCTGCACTATGAAATTAATGAAATAAAGGTATAGGTGCAGGGGATAGAAAAAGCCCTTGCTAATATGAAATCATCGGTATAAAATTAACTGATTATTCTGTATAAATACATCATGTGAAACGCCTCTGGCTAATCTCCTGTTAATCATGAGAGATCTACAAACCGAAAGTGACGGGAGAGCATTGGGAACTAATGAAGTGCTAAAAAGGAGTCAGGTGTACCGTAATACAAAGATGAACATGTTGTGTATATTGTCTCAGATCTAATTTAACTGAATCAAAAAGGTTATAAATATGTTTTCACCCTGAAGTTAATCGAATAAAAATGAATCTGATATTTTATTATAATATACTTGCTACAAACTGCTATAACAAGAAATATTCGCTAAAAACGCTTTATATCACTAAAATTACTATAAGTCTTATTTATTGTCTGTAATCATATATAATCATCAAATATGTCCGGTGCAATAGTTAAGATAATATTAGATAAGATTTATAATAAAACTATACCCAAACCTATCAATCTCCGCCCTGGATATAATATGAAACATGTTTTTAACTATCGACCTTAAACTAATAACTATCGGTATGAAAAAGTGGTTGAAATAGAAAAACAATACGATCATTTATCCATTATTAGACCTCATGAAACACCTCAGCAATGGGCTGTTCGTATAAGAGCTCCTTTACAAGAACTACTTTCTAAGTGAAAATATAGTTTATACCATGTGTACTGCCTTTTCAGTTCATTTGGGTAAGTAGAATCCAAAACATATTATATTAATGGTGAGTTATATGAAGATCACTTCCAATATCATAGACCTAGTATCCATAAAAGTCAAATGGCCATTTGCTTCAAATGCTGGAAATTGGTGAAGATTACCGAAGTAGAGCCTAGAAAGGAATATTATAGTGGCTGGAGGAGATGGGCCTATGAAGTTAAGTCCGAAGATTTGATGAAAAATCATTGGAATTAATTTTGCTTCAAGGCCAAATCCGCAACTATAGTAAAAAATACTATGGCAAGTGCTCCTGTTACCTTTGATAACCAAGAAATGATTTCACCAACCTTTAGTAAAATATTTATCTCGTCTCTATATGCAAAACAGCCAAAAGGTACTGTGTTGAGATTAGGGGATGGAACAGAAATTATGGTAGTTTAACTAACTGATTCTGACTATTACTTTCGACTGGTTAGCAACGCTAACTATCCCAACTATATTCATAAATTATTTTTTGCGACTATATAATCTACATATAATGAAATTACAGCCGAAGGTGTAATCGTATCACATGCAGACGCTATGTATGATCTGCCTATTCTGGGTTAGATCCTCTAATCTATAACTAATAAAGTATTTTTCGAGAAGTTCTCAACATAGATTTAGCAAATTTCAGCGAACTGAGTTCGCCCAAAATCACGTGAATTTTTTTCAGAGTTGCACCGATCACCTAGGGAAACTGTATATCTGCAGTCTGTGTACTTCCTTACACTGAATAGCATTGTATCATGATAAAGCTAATCTGTGATACATCAATAAAGTCGTATCACAGTATCAGCCCGTACAACATATGGGGCATGCTGCAACAAAACCAGACAAAGTGAACATTTTATTATGTGATATGAATGAGAGGCTGATTGTGATGTGGCTGTAAAATTGACCAGTGTGACTGATGACATTTTGAAAAGTAATAATGGTGCTTGTTCATAACTTATGAACTTGTTAATTTTAATGCTCACTTTATCATACCAGAATGTGATGAATATAAACCATAACATGATTAATATAGGATTACCTCTATATATAAAAATAGTAATATGAAATTAATTTACATCAGATCTACAATGGAACCCAAGAATTATAGTACTATCAGAAGTATTTTAAAAAAAGAACAAGGTGAAAAATTGCTCCTTACATTTTCAAAATAAATGATACTCAAACACTGGAAGCTTATCTAAGAAAAGAAAGAATTACCTATGAAATTTACCAAGAAGAAAGAAAAATAATAGATGTCAGAAAAAGAAAGCAAAATGAAAGTGTATTATTATCCAATAAAAAGCAGAAACATTTGGAAGGAAAATAATCTAATTGTTACAATATTGATTTATCTTATTTTTTTACTATATACAAAGAAACTTTTTTATGCAAATGTAATCAATGATCATTATGTTGCATTGCTTATCAGTAAAAAAAAAAGTTTGAATGAACTTTACATTCAAGAACATAATCTTTGTTTTTTTGTTAAATAGTCCTGCCTTGTATCAGAATGTTATAAAAGCATCACTGATTCACTTATTTTCAGGTAAAAAAAGAATTCAAATAACAACTCCTAGTAATCATCATTAAACACAATTTTATTTTTTGGTTCAAAAAACAATCAAATAATCAATAAATATTTACAATAACATTTAAAAAATGCTTACTTTCAATTGTGAACTTGTTTGTGAATCATTAATTGGACTCTTGCTTGGTTTCTTACTTCATTATCAAACTTATCAAAATCAGTTCTGTATTATAAATCAAAAGATTGATCAAATAATTGATAAAATTGAACCAAGAAAAAGCCAATTCAAAAATAAAATAAACAAACTTACTATTGATAGAAAATATTCACAAGAAATAGAAAATCTATGGAAGGATTTCAAACAATTATTTGACAAAAAGATTGGATTGAATCCAAATTTTTCATTTAGTGAAATGATCATTGAAATTCATGAATTACTTGGAGAGGGAAAAGGTGTTGTTGCTTTCACAATAAAAAACTTTTACCAACAGCAAACAAATCCTAGAAGGAAAACGATAGAAGCAATTCAGAAATGGGTTGAGAAGGAGAAGAAGAAAGTGGTGGAGAGTAAAGATGAAGAAGATAATAAAAACAATGAAGATATAAATATTAGTAATAATAATATTATTGTTAATAATAGCAGTAGTAATAGTGAAAGTTGAATTTTTGTCAGAGTGCCCAAAGAATAGGTAATACTTACAAATGGCTTTGGGTCTGAGTATTTTCCTCCCATGCAAGTACTCTGATAATTTTTTAACTTATATTTTTATAATTATTTATGTATTTTTCTATTATTAGTTGAATAAAAATAATTTTCTTTTTTATTGTTTAATCCATTGTCCGTAAAAAAAAATTCATTAATTCCAAGTCATGTGCCCACTAATTTATCATTGGTCTAAATTATGCATAGAAACAAATTAATTGTAACAATTACAATCTAAATCAATAAAAAAAAAATAATTAATTTTTAAATTTTTTAAATTTTAAAATGGCAACATTCAAAAAAATGGAACGAGAATTAAATGATGCGAAAGAGATGTTGAAGGAGGCGGAGGAGAAGTTGAAGAAGTGGGAAGAAGGAAAGTATAAGGGAGAGAAGTTGAACGAATTGGAAGAAGAGTTATATAAGGGAGAATTCGGGAATGAAGAACAGAAGAAAAGGTGTGAAGAAAGGGTAAAGAAGTTGGAAGAAGAAAAGAAGGAGTTGAAGAAGGACAAAGACAATTGGAAGGAGCAGGTGAAGGAGTGGGGAAGGCATTGCGTGATTTCAGTGGAGGAAAAGGTAATGAACAAATTGCGTAAAAAAATATACAAAAAAATTATTTTTCATTCGTTCCATTTTGTTTATTTATTTATTTGAGAGATATCTGTTACAACTTTAACCAATTTGTACTTCTTTTTTCTGTCCATTGTTTTCTATTGCTGCTGCTTCCTATTGAAATTACAAAAGGTCTTGAAGAAAATAAAGGTAAACACCATTCGTGTTTTTTTCTTTGGTTATTTCATTTTTAATTAGATATGCAATCTTGTTCACCTGTTTTGTTTTAAATTTATTTTTCACACTATTATTTAGAATTAGGTAAGATTAATTTGCAATAAATCCATACATCCAAGAAATGTGGATTAACTTTAATTTATTTATTTGCCTTTTAGAGGGAAGAGGAATCAAACGTCCAGTAGAGGATGATTATACATATGCTGCAGCTGAAAAAAAAGTAAAACTTGTTGAAGATATGAAGGTACCACCTTCAAGCTTTTGTAGATCATGTAAATGGGAAGAGGTTGTTCCTGTGATTTTCAATCATCGGCCTCATGATGCTGATATTCCTATCACTCTATATCATCAAGTATTTGCACATTTTCAGGAGTACTGTACCAATATTCATATCTCAATGGATGATTGTGACCTGGTAATAAAACTTATCACACAAATGACAAAAGCTTTTGAGCGTGAGAATGATAGGGTGGCTGAATTTTTAAAATGGACATCTGAATATTTTGCTCACCCAGTTACAAAACTACCACTTCCACAAATTGGTCAAGAAGCTGATATTGGAGCTTGTCATTCTGTTGGAAATCATTCTTTCTGTTTTCTTATTGGTGAAGCTAAAAATGAAATTGGGGAAGGACATGGATGTTCATATATACAAGCATGTACTTCATATGCTAAACAAATTGGTGCCAATACAAATAATACAATACGTAAAGGTCTCAACCCATCTTTTATTCTTTATCTCTCTGGTCCTTACCTGGGTATTGCTGGTGCTGTTTTTGGAAAAGATTTTACAATAGA